TTTAAAGATTGTCAAATATTCATTCATATTCAGAAAAAGGGTGCAAAGTAATAAGTTCAAAAGAAATTGTTTCGTAACTTGTGAATATTATACGCGCGTATACGAAGAAAAGTGTCACCGCAACGACAACAAATATCTACAATGCAAATATCTAAAATAATAATAATGTTCACACTCTGTCCAAAACTTCAAATCCAGTTACGGCAACCGTTCTCAGTTCGTAACTCCCGACTTTAACTTCGTGGTATATTTTACCATCCTGATTATTCCGATACATTTGAACCCGAATTAAAGTTCCACCGCGAAGGGATTCAAGGTCACGCTCGTAAAGGCAAATACGAGTGGAAAGAAATTTCGCGTGCGACGACAGGCAACGACGCGGTAATTTCCGAATTAACGAGGGGCCGCCACTTTCCTCGGTCGGAGTACACACGCCGCGGCTTAGGCAGTAGTAATCTCGATGAATGTTACGACGCCGGGCGAGGGAACAGGCGAGAAGCATTGCTCCGCCGAATGTACCGTGTAGAACGGTACACACACACACACACACACACAACCACAGACGGGACGGGGGGTATGGGACGTTCTCGAAACTGCACGGCCATAAATCTCGAACGAAACTAAGCTCCGCCGACCCCGGCCGATGCAACTTTAAAGCCCGTTAAGTGATTATTAACGTTCCTTCCACGCCAGCCCGGCTGTTAATATGCAAGAACCGACGAGCCATTCCTGAAAATACGCATTCGTAATTGCTTCATCGTCTTACACCGATGTTCCCTGTCGGCGTCTCGCCCCGCTCTGATCAAACTAATAATTCCTTCCGGCGTGCACCTTGGCCAACTTGTCAAGTTCTGGTAAACAGAACGCGGCAACCACGCGGTGTTCCACGGGGTTGCAATGTGCTTCTCTCGCCGCGCACAGAAGGCGAGAGGGCAAAAACTGTTTGATTAAATGGGACCGTTGAGTTTTGGAAATTCTAAAACGTATAGATTGCGAATTTTTTTGTGAATTGTTCTCTTCCTTTTTTTTTTTTTAAGTAATTAAAGAAAAAGAATGGTTTGATTAAATGAAATTATTAACAATTATTTACAAAAAGGAAATTCATATTTTCGATTTTTATGCAGGTTTATATTAAAAATTTATTATTAAAAATTACTGGAAAAAGGAGGATAGTTTGATTGAATGAAACTATCGAGCCCCACTTTGGAAAAAAAGGTTTATATTTGGAATTGTGAACTATGGCTTTACATATTCTATTTTTACAATTTTTAATGTTTCACACATTTTGCTGTGCAATGTGCATTTTATATATGTATGTATCTTTTATAAATGCATGAATCTTAGTTGTGTAAAAATTGTGATAATTGTCAAAAGCATCTAGACACTTTCTGCTCTGGACGTATTTGATTACTAATGCTGCTTGATACAATCTTTTTAAAAGTCAGATAATAAATTTAGTTGCAACAAAATAATCAGAATTCCAGATATAGAAATTTAATAGGAAAATGATGAATGATTGTATTGGATTGTATGTGGAATTAAAGGAGAATTCATCATAGATCAATGAATAGATAATATGCCATATGTGTACAAAAATTGCAACCACTACGAGTCAGAAAATCTTATGACTATAAAATGATCTTTAAAAAAATAAAATATAATTGCAAAATTAAAATAATTTACGTAATTTTCTATCACTATCTTCATCTGTACAAAATAATATAATATCAATTTTGTATATACCTATTGTAAATATTTTCACTGCTGGATTTAATTTACTCGTGCATTTTTTGGACAATTTTGATTTAATCTATTGGAATTTGGTATTCTATTTTCTGGGCTTTTCAGCTTTTACAGCTGACTGAAACTTCGAGTGCTAAATTGAAAAATAATTCTGAGTAACTACGACTAATTAAAGGATCAGCTTTTACAGAACAAATTTACAGAGAATTTTGTTGCGTACCCTTGAGATTACCCCATCCTACGCATAATGAACTAGTGCTTTGACACATCCCTTGGCATGGCAGTAACTCGAAATTGAATTTCGAGTTGACGGTTCACATGTGAAATTATCTATGTTGCGTAACAGAAAATCATATGTCAATTATGAATCAATAATAAGCTGAATATATGTACATTTTGAAATACTGTTTTTAGAATACTTGAGTTTGAACACTAAAATTCGAGGCATATTCGAGCACATATTTTACACGTATACCTGATGAATTAAATAGCATTCATTTCTTTTTCTTTTCTTTCTTTTTTTTTTTCTTTGAAAAATTAACACACACTTTATTTACTTATTTCTTGCACCTATGTTTACCTTTCGATACTTTCTTATATTATTTTTCAAACATTTTTAACCGAGTTATAATACTAAACAAATATTGGCTAAGTAATCTGACTTCTTTACAATTACCATAAACCGTGAAGAAGGGGTCATTTATATTCCAGCTTCCCGGCAGAAAAAAACATAACAGTGAAAATTTCTAAGCTTCGAAAGCTATCGACAACTGACAACGAGGAAGAACGGCTGCCTGAAAATGCCATTTGAAAACGCGTCGCGCATTCACCGACAATTTTACAAATTGTCCAGCCGCGGGTGGACCCGCCGGTGCCCTACCCCTAATCGGCCGGACGGAAAATTTATCGACAAAATCAGCGAATTTAATCTTTGTAAAGCGAAACGAGGAAATCTGGTTCATTAAATCGCGTCCGGTTGGCCGGATGCGACTCCGCAGAGATACCGCGGCGCGGCGATGAAAAATATCCGTTTACTGTAACGAAATATGCATTTAAAAACGATATTCATTATACTGTAAATATAACTGTCGGGAGCGTCGGGGTGCCCCGCGATTCCGACCGCGTTATTTATCCCCCTGTTTACGCTCGTCGCTTTAAACCGCTAAATATAAATCAATAGAGAAGCGCGAGTGCAGATAAATAAACGAATAAACCTGTAATTGATATATCGGGGCTACGCGAATCTACGGGATTGAATTGGTCATTTCGAAAACAAATGTAAAAAATGTCGGCGGGAGGGGGAACGTTAGGGGAGATGGAACACACGTTGCAACTTTTCGGCTTAATTAATTGGCAAACCGGTGCCCGGCGCGTTTAAAGGATATTGCAGGGTTGATAAATTTATCCGCGGTTTGTTACTTTCTGTTTGCAATTTTTATCTTGACTTTTCAATTTCAGGGAGAAATATTATTATTACGGTTCCGGAGATTCCACGAGAATCAGATGAATCCCAATTTATCGATAATAAGCGTTTCGACATTTTATTCTTCTCGAGTAAGCTCTAAATAGCTTGAAACAATTTTTAATTATGATTATAAGCTCAGGTCATGCGAGTCGTAGGCTGTAATATGAATATTAAATAAAATAACCTGCAGATCTGTCTTATTCTTATTTAATTTGCATACACTCTGATATCAGTAGACATAATCCTAAATGGATAATTGAATTTAAAATTTTCAAGGGGAAGTGAAAGATAATTTCAGAGAGGTAAATTCCTGTACAAACAGAGACAAAATTATTCGGATTGTTATCTGGAATATTTCAGCCCATTTACAACATTCCATTATATTCATGAATAAGGGGTCAAAAAATTACGAAAAAAAAGGTCCTAGAAAGTCACGAACAATACGTCCACGATTAGAAATAATTATCCACCGAAAATCAGCATCAAAAAACGACACATTACGTATCGCATTAAAGCCGACAGAAATATATCCTTCGGTCATACTTCTATAAACTGTCTCACTTTCGCCCGAATAAGACTCGTTCAAGACCATTGAAAGAACATTGGACCCTCTGCCCCCAGAGCTGAGCATGGCCGCAATGTTTCGTCACCTCGATATTTCCAGACCAAAATAACCTCTTTAAGCTCTCTATACAGAAAAAAGAAAAAAAAGAAAAAGATGACAGAGACAGGAGGAAGGATGAAGGCAAATCGACAGCGTGATGAAAAGAAAGAGAAGGGGAGTCATGGACGGTGGGTTGCTCGACCTCCGTAAAATTACTCCTCACCATCGTTTGTCTCCCACTTTCACGGGCTCGGAGAATACGTATAAGTACGCGTACGGGGAGTGAGATAAGAACGAACGAAAGAGAAAGGAAGAAAGAACGAGGTCCTTGACAAGGGGAAGAACGTACAGTGGGAAAAGAGGGAAGCATCGTGGGGCCTAGATGGTTCTATGTACATTTGCTTAATGCCCGGTGCTATCCGGAACAAATTACTCGAGGGACCAGGAAATTAAGTCGACATCTTCACGGGATCCGCCAGCACGCGGGGATTAGTTAGCATACAGAAACATTCTTCCGTCCGATGAACAGCCGTTTCCCTTTCGTTCCTTTGCAAATTGTACGTGCTTCACGCTGTCGAGGCGCCGTTATTGCGCGACATCCCTTGTTACTACCTTGTCATACGGTCCACTCGTTCTTCCTGATTCCATTATCTAACGGCTCGAGCCCGTGTGGAAAACGTAACGCGTTCGTACGGTTAAGCACTGCTCCTTCACGATCGAAACTTTCAGCGTGGAAGGAACACGTTGGATGGAAATAGGTGTACACCGCGAGTCTGAATATTAATAACGAAGGAAGGACTCTGGCGCGAAGATCGAGCAGGCTCGCTTTTTAGTGAGATTGTGTTTGTTCAAGGGGGACTCAGAAGAAGCTGCACTCAGTACAAGTCATTTGTATTATTTACGTATGAGTTGTTGCTCTTCCATATAATTTGTATTTTACACGCAAGTTTTCATTAGAAATAATTAATGCAAATATCCTTTTGTCGTTAACATTAAAATAACTAAACTATTCCATGAGCTAAAAGTTTTGATAAGACGATTGTCTTGTCTTCTGCAATCTTATCCTACTTCGTTTGATTTTGAGGCATCCGTACAGATGTTCATGATGTTCGTGTCCGAATTTATTACAGAAAATGGCGAAAATATTTATCACAGCGTGAGTAGTGAATTACCCAGAGCTAATGGTATTCAAGCTAAAAGCAAGCTAGCTCGGACGAGCTTCCGATCGCTATTTACATTGTTCTTCCTTCCGTGACTAGACACAGATTCAGCTAGACGCGGTGAATAGGATTCTCTTAAACGCATCGATTCCGATATCGGCAATATTCCAAAAGTGGTTTCCCTCGTTCGAGTACTCCTCGCCGACGTCTTCTTTCTTCCGTTCTCGTGTAAACCACCGTCTTGATTCGTCGTCATCGCGTTAAAGACGACGGAACTTGAATATTTCATCGTGAAGTAGAGCTTCCCGCCTGTGAACCGAGACACGGTGTCCTCCCTTCTTTTCTTCGTTTCCGCTTCTTCCCTTTTGTTTTGGAGATACGCAGCCGCGACGAATCGATAATGCTCGTTTCGTTGGAAACAGAGGACGGAAAGAGAATGCTACCGATACAAGTTGCAGTTCTCTTTAACATTGTACCGAAAATAGCCGCATTTGTAGCAAAAGTAAGTGGACAATTAATTCGTCACTCGATTCGAAACGTTAAAAATATTATACAGCACTCGCGTAGGATGAATCGAGGATTTTTTAGCGTTTTTAATTAATTTACAGACGGAAATTGGCAACAGTACAAAGTGAAATAAAAAGACTTCTCTGATCGAAACTTGCAAATAATTTCGTAATACTTCAAGTTTAATATCGTTACGAGGGAAAGATATATTTATATTTAAATAATCATTTACACTTTATATGTAATTTTTCTACATAAAGAAATCAAGAAAATATTATTAATTGTTCAGGGTATGTCATATTGGAATAAAAAATTATTATAAAAAAGATACTCGTTCATCGTAAGAAACCTTGAATTCATTATTACTTGAATGTTTCAATTGTCAATGAAACAAGTTCTTAAAATAGATATCTCCTGCTTAAAATTTTGCAAAGACAATGTTAAAAGTCTACGACGCGATGAAAGGCAAACTTCTGTACACTCGCGTGTCCTAAATTTTAATCTGAATTAATATATTACAAAAAAAAAAAGCGAGAACTATATATAATACATTCTCATTTGATATTTCAAAATTGAAAACTATAAAGCAATAATTTAAGAAAATTTCATAATACCATGCAGATTTTACCTAGCTTGCGAAAGTAAAAATATTTTAACTAATATTTATACTTAAAGAAGTTAATTTACATTCTTCGAAAAATTATACGAAGTAGGTATTATAGTAAGAACCCATAATACAATATACACAACTAGGGCAAGCTATAGTTTGAAAATGGTAGTAGCTAGGAAAAATTTAATTAAATGAAATGAAATGATTATGAACGGTGCATAATCTGGAGCACGTGCTTGCTTCAAAAATGAAAGAATTTGAAAAATTTAAAGGTGACCTAATTTTCTAAATACACAGTGTCTTACGTTGATGGGAGAAAACACACACAGACCGTCAACTATTCTAAATTAAAAATAGTCAAAATATATTCATTGTAATAATTCAATGAGATACATATACTTCGTCGTCAATTAACGAAACAAATAAATTGACAAATACATAATAAAGTAGAAATAACTAGTGGCACACTTTCTACGATATCCAGAATATTTTTATTAATTTTCCGAATTGGTTCTAAATACTCTCATAAAATGAGAATTGCGAATTATTCACTATTTCTAATATATCCGATAACGTATCAAAAGAATAGAATGTCTTCGACGTTTGTCAGTCGCAAAATCCGACGAGTACTCATTGTTAAACTTAAGATATTTAAGACTAATTATTAAACTGCGGGTTTTTTAATACGGAGACCTAACCAAAATATTACTACAAGTACTATACTTTGGATACGCTCGTTCTACACATATTACACGCTTTACAAACACGTTTACTCGTGAAAATTCGCAGTCTATTGACTCCGTATTACTCCGTATCACACCGTTTTTCCCCGAAGATTCCGAACTGCGTTCCTTCCCGTTTCCGCTTGCCACCGAATCGGTCGAATCGGTCAACAGAAGTCAACCGACGATCGAGTTCAATCTCGCGAGGCAAGGATCCACGAGGCGAGGATCAAACGCTTTTTCCCCGAGATCCCGAATGCAAAGTTAAACGAAGCGTCGAAGCGGAGAGGCGACTAGGCGAGGCGAGGCGAGGCGAGGCGAGGTGAAGCGGCGGGAAGCTCGTTTCACGCCCTCCGCACGGTCAATTCCACGCGATCGGGGAGTATCGGTGGGAGGCCAGGTTCGGACGAGCGTAAGCCGCACAATGGGGGCCACCGTAGCCGGGTATATCGACGGAAATTGAATCTGGCGTATTGTGGGAACCGGAGATTCGTCAAGTCGAAAGTTTCCAGCGGGGAAAAGGACCGAGCGGCGCGAGACGAGCGTAGACAAAGCAGAGGGTAGAAGAGGGTAGTGGTGGGCCACGGCGAAGAAACTGGGTGGAAGGGTGAAACACAGAGCGAACTGGAAGGGCAATGGTAGTCAGGAAGCACTTGAGCGCCGATTTAGGGACGACCAAAGACTTCCAACGTTCCCGGGCAAACCAAACAAAACCGAAGCGACGTCGAACGAGGCAGAGACTCGGGCCTGGAATCGACTAAGCCGAACGAATCCATCGCATCGAGAGGGCCTGGCTAAACGGCAAACTTATCTAATCCAACTTGGCTGGGCTGGCGTGCGAGCCAGCCCTGTAGGAACAGCGGACGTGACGTCGGCCAGCGAGGATAGAAGAGAGAGAGAGAGAGAGAGAAAAAAAAAAAGCAACATTGGAATCACGACGAGAGAGACGAGAGGTGAAAGAGTGGAGAAAGGGAGACGTGTGCGTCTTGGCGGCGAGAGAAGACGTAACTCAGCGGGTTGTTCCTTCTCGGGACAGGAAGTTTGTTCGAACGCTGCTCTCGAACGGAACTCGGCGAAGCTCTCTTTAATTACTCGGCGAAGGGAAAACGTGCCGTCGCTTGGCGCGCGTGCTGTTTAATCAGCTGTTCGTTCGGCCGTGTCGAATCACGGAATCACGGTGACTGCACGCACGTCAAAGACTGTGGAAAACTGCGCCCGGCGAAAGGAAAATATTTGCGTGGGGGCTGCGCGTCGAGACCGCCGCGCGATTAATCGCGTTTCTTCCGGCAACGGTGGCCAAGTTTCCACCGGGCGAAAACTGTCGGAACGAGTCGCGTGACTCTTCGAAATCTCGATCGAGCGACGATCAATTGCCGATGCGGACGGATTCTGAAGACACTGGCAGATGAAGAATTTATTCGGAGAATTGTTCGCAATTAAATCGCGCTGTCCGACTGGGAGAAATTCCCTCTTGCTTCGAAAACTTCTGAATTTGACATTCGTTTCTTTCTTTTCATCTGACTTTCATCAGTTTTTAAAAACTTTAATTCTGAAAAATAATAATAATAAT